GTAGGAGGAATGCTGTGAGTTCAAGTCCAGCCTAGGCTACAGCGTGAGATGTTTTTGGAACACCAATAAATTAATAAATAAAGCTTCCCCAGGACCAAAGTCCAGAACAAAATGACCTTCCCTGCGAGCCAACCAGGCCCAGGGTGACTCGCCCTGCAGGCCCCTGGAGGAGGAGGTGGTCGAGCTGGAGCGGTTGGCCTGCTGAGGGTGGCACGAGGAGAACCGGGGGGCCAGCGCTGACGCTTTCGCCTTGGGGGCTTGCGGCTCCAGGGTCTCGGGCCTGTGGGGTGTCCGGGACTTGGGGGTGAAGGCTGAAGGAGCTGTGCTTGGTGCAGCTACATGTGGTATCATCTGGCAGCTGTGTTCTGACTTTTTTTCTCTTTGGTACCGGGAATTGAACTCAGAGCAATTCACTTGCCAGGAAGGCACTTGTGATACTGAGCTATAACCCTGACCCCTGGTGCTCTGGCTTTTAACTTATGTTCTGCTGCTTTTTCATTTACCAGCACAATGCATGTGTGCTGAGAAATATCTGGGGCGCTGGATCAAAGGTCAGCAGGACCGCATTCCTGTTCTTTGGACTCCCCAGGCGGGGCTCCCTAACCAGTGCAATGGCTGTAAAAGATTGAGATGAACGCGCCCTGGCCACCTTCCATATCTGGATGGGAAGCTTCCCTTCCCGTAAGGTCAAGTGAGGTTGTCTCTTTCTTGTATTATTTGGTTCAAAAAATTTATTTTGTATGTTTTTTCCTATTTTTTGTTTGTTTGTTTATGTTTTGTCTTAGTTTTTTTGGAGACAGGGTCTTGCTATGCAATTCAGGCTGGGTTTGAACTCACCAAGTAGCCCAGGCTGGCCTCAAACTCAGTGGTCCTCCTGCCTCGGCCTCTCAAGTGCTGGGATCACAGGCATGCGCCTTGCACGAGCCTCCTATCACACTTTGGACTCTAACTGCACAGGAGCCAAATGCTTAAAATTAATCTCCCTCTCTCTGTGTTTCTTGGGAGGAGCCCCAGTCACTGCTTAAACACCACTGTCCCCTCTGCCCTGGGTGCGGCCCCGGCTGGGTTGGGGGAGCAGCACCCTCAGCTAAGCTCCCCTGAAAGCCTCCAAACTCAGCAGGGAAGGTGAGGTGAGGAGGAGCAGGGCCTCTGAAGCCAGTGGCCTGCAAGGGCAGGTTGGAGCCTGAGGGGAGCCCTGCCTACGCCGGGAAGGGTCGGCAGACCAGCAGGCGCTGGGCATGGGCAGGGGATGATGGGATGGCAGTGGCTTCTGGCCCAGGGTCTGCTGTGGGACAGAGGTGCTGGGTGGCGCTGGGCCTGGAAGGAAGGTGGTGGTGCTGGGCGTGGAGATGGGGAGCCCTGCAGACAGCACCGCTCCTCTGTACCCACTGCTCTGGCAGCACGGTGGCTTCATGGGGCCACTGTCTCAGGGACGGTCACCGTGGACAGAGGGACCTAAGCTGCCAGGGTGCCAGCAGTGAGTGAGGACACCCCTCGGACACCGCACCAGTCAGACCCAGGGGTAGCCTGCCGCAGAGTGACACCCAGCAATGTAACAAAAACTCTTCTTGAGACAGGATTTCACCGAGTTGCTCAAGTAGAACTTGATTTTGGGGTCTTCCTGCCTCAGCCTCCCTAAGTGCTGGGATTACTGGCGCACACCCCCAGGCTGACTAACCGATTCAGTGTAACAATCCTGCGTTTGAAACAAAGTTTCACAGTGTGAGATTTTTTTTCCACTGCAGCTCATGGTCAGCACAGAGCAGGTTTAGAGTTTGGATTTCCTGAGTGAGATTTGACCCAGGTTCGAAAAGGAGCCACTTCCTGCCTGTGGCAGGGCCCGAGCTCTGACTTCCTGTGCTTCTGACCCTGCCCCAGGACCGGACACAACAGACAGCGCCACCTGAAGACCCCGCACCCTGCCCAGGCCACACAGAGCAACACAGGGATGCAGGGGTGGCCGGTGGGTAAGAGGGAGCCAGGGGACAGGGCAGTGCCACCATCAGGCCCACCACATACCCAAACCTGTGGTGCCCAATGCCTCTTCTATCCTTTCCTGAAAGACACCGGGGGCAGCAAGCTGGAGGACTCTGGGACAAAGGTCCTCGCCAGAGCCACACATGGCTGCTTTCCTACACTTTCATGGGGGCACAATGACAGACCCTGGTGAGGTGTCTGTGGGAACAGTGGGGGACTCGGGAGGGGACCGAGGCTGTGGGACCTGAGACCCAAGGGCTGGGAGGACAGAGCAGTCCAGGCAGCCAGACCGGTGGTGTAGGCAGCTAAGTTAGATAAGAAGTAACACTCAGAGCCAGGCGTGGTGGCACACACCTGTCATCCCAGCTCTGGACAGGGAGGCTGAGGCAGGAGGATCGACATGAGTTCCAGGCCAACCTGGACTGCACATGGAGACCCTGTCTCAAGCAAAACAAAACAAAACAAAACAATTAAAAAATTAATTCAGAGTCAGGGAGGGACCGGGCCCTAGGAAGTCTGAAATGCATCTGAAGGAGGCCAGGCCTTGAGATGAAAGTCCCAGGGACCAGACTCTATGGGATGAACGGAAACTTGAGATTACACAGTAATGGATACCACCTGGTCCCAAGTCCAGATACGCATCAGATACCTGGATGGGTGACAGGCTGTCTGGACCCATCCCATCCCTAAAATGTTCCTGTTTCAGAAGCCACAGCGAGCCCAGCTTAATGATGTCACCCTCGGGCCCATTCCACGTGTCACCCTCTGAGCCCACTGGGTCACTGTTAGCTAAGCTGCTGTACTCGCATAGGACTGGCTGGTTCCAGTCCGACCCACCGTGTTGCGGTGACTCCACTGTGACCACAGCCCAGGGCTGCCCACTTGGGACCCCCTGCCTCTCAGCAGCGACTGCTCTTCTGTGTTTTTAGTCCCTCTTAGGCCTTTGCTGCTCTTAGCCCTCTGTCCCTTGGAATTCACTCTTCAGTTTCAGGGGACACGAACTCTGCACACTCGACATGCAGCAGGTTGGGGATTATATTTTTCTTATCTCAGCGGCACACTCCAGTGATCAAGTGTTCAGGAGGCTGAGGCAGGAGCACTGCCATGAAGTGGAGGCCAGCCTGGGTGAGTTCAAGGCTGGCTTCCACTAGGCCTCCTGGCTCTGCATTCCAGGTGCCAAGGAAAGCTCCTGGGCTTCTTGACCTGGGGGTGTCCTGGAGTCCCGGGTGTACCGCGCCTGGAAGGGGGGCACCCAGGCTTCGAGATACCTGCATCCCTACCTGGTGGTCTCTCCACTGCCTGGGTCCTGGGGCACCCTCACTGGCTGGCAGAGTGTCACTGTGGAGGGCGGGCGTGGCTCCTCCTGCTGTCCTGCTGTCGTGTCCTCAGCTGCTGGGGCAGAGACAGCTCAGTGTGCTGGCAGGGTGCAGGGGACAGGTTGGGGGCGCAGTGACTATGCAGCTGACTGGGCTGGCACGGCTCGCACTGGCACAGAGTTGTGGCTGAACCCTGCAGCCCTCCACAGGGCCAGCGAGTGCTGTAGGCAAGGTCCGAGCCTCTGAATCCAGGGGAGCTGCATGGGGTCGCCAGGTACTGCCCAGGCCGTGGCTCTGTTGCAGCCCTGGGAGCTGGTGCTGCGGGCACTACAGGGCCTGGGCTCACTACCCCAGAGGCCACAGCACCAGCGATGCCCTCCCACATCTCCCTCTGCTGGTCCAGCAGCCCCGGCCCTCATCTGAGTCTGGATGTGGCCTGGAAACTGGCATTGTAAGCCCCTGAGCCACAGTTTGGCTGCTGCCACCAGCCCAGACCCAGCACCGAGGCAGCAATTGGAGGAACCCTCCAGCAGGCATCACTGCCCCCAGGGCACAGGCCCGGGGCAGCTGGGGATGGGTCAGACAGAGTGGACAGTGGGAGGCTGGAGTCCATACTGTGGATCCAGAGAGTGGAAAAAGCAGAATCTGGAGTCTGACTCTTCCAAGTGGAGGACTCCACCTGGTGTGGAGCACAGCCCTGTAATCCAGTGCTGTAATTACAGTGCTGTAATCCCAGCACTCTGGGAGGCTGAGGCAGGAGGATGGCAAATTCAGTCCAAGCTTGGGCAACTTAGTGACTCAGTAAGTCAGTCTTGAAATGAAAATGGAGAACAGGCCTGGGAATGTGGCTCAGTGCAAAGCCCTTGAGTTCAATCCCAAGCACAAAAAAAGAAAAAGGTGAGAAAATTTGTGTCCAAGAACAGGATTTTTAAGAACTCGGGGTGCTGGCCTGAGCTAGAAGCTAGCCTGATAGGGCTAGGAGAAGGCAGTGAACACCCCATCTCCAGCAGAAGGCAGAGGCAGGGCTGGGGTGGCGTAAAGGGCCTGGAAGTGGAGGGAAGGGGGAGGGGAGAGGGAGGAGGGGAAGAGGAGAGGGAGGAAGGGATGGGCAGGAGCCTGGGTCCCCGCCAGTCAGTCCAGAGCCCTCTGCTCCCCAACGCCAGTTCTGACCCTGGCAAGCTGACCAAGCTGTGGAGGTGCCGAGGCCCATCAGTCGTGGGACAGGGACAGGGGCAGGTGCGAGGAGGGGCCTGGGGTTGTGGGCCCAGTGTCTCCAGGAGGCTATCAGGGTGCACTGTGAGCTGGGTTAGTCCACCTTGGGGGCCACTGAGTATCTGGGCAGATGCCCTGGGCACCGGCTGTGACTGCAGAGGCGCTATGCCCTGGTGGGCACCCACACTACTCGTGTGGGGAGCGGGAATTTGCCAGGGTCTGGGTTTGTGAGGGCAGAAATCAGTACCACTCAGCCGTTTCTGTGTGTGGCAAGTTCAGGGACACCAACAGGAAGTGAGGGGGATGAGCAGGGCCCGGTTTACAGCCAGCAGTGACAGGGCCACCGGATGCTACTTAGGCAAACCTGGGTGTCCAGGCCAGATGAGTTCCCACAGGCACATGCACCCCACTTCGGAGGTGCTCTGATCTCATCAGCTTTTTTTTTTTTTTTTGTCTTTTTCCTTTTTATCGGGGATTGAACTCACGACTGCCTGCTTGCAAGGCAGGCACTTATGCCACTGAGCTAAATCCCCAGCCCCCCTCATCGGGCTTTTGATCAAAACTTCTCAGCCTACTGGAGACCTCGGCCTCAGGGCAGAGGAGGGAGCCGATCCCTTCCTGAAAGCAAAGTAGCCGAGCCACGCCCCAGCTCGGCTGGTGAAACCTCTGAGGTGGCCCAGGACCCCCAGCCCAGTCCCCTTTTTGCGCCCCACTCTGAACCGGCATAGGGCCCAGCTCTGGCAGCCGTGGCTTCTCGGGCCAGCAGCAGATGCGCCCCACCTGGCACCGAGTGGCCCCGCCACCGCTTTCCTATCTGAGTGGAAATTGGAGGCTTATCTGTGCTGCTCAGCATCCTTTCAATTTCCTCCCCAAAATTAAAAACAAATACTTTGTACGTTTTTGGTTCAAAATACTTTTTTCTTTCTGGAATCTTAAAAAAAAAAAAAACAACCTTTATCCCCCCTCGTTCTCTGACTAACTTGATTGTATGCCTGAGTCCAGAGCCGTCTGCTCCCCGACGCCAGTTCTGACTGGCAGCTGACCAAGCTGTGGAGGTGCCGAGGCCCTGGGCCTGGAGCTACACTGCTGTGTTGTTCGAAGCCAGGCCACATGGTGCACGCTTGTAATCCCAGCACTCTGGGAAGCTGAGGCAGGAGGATTGCAAGTCTGAATCCAGTGTGAGAAACTTAGCAAGACCCTGTTTTCAAAATGAAAAACTGAGAAAGGTTTGGGGACGTAGCTCAGTGCAAAGACCCTGGGTTCAGTTTATTAAAAATAAAAAGGGTGTAGGGATTGAGCCTAGGGCCTTCACACTGAGTTACATCCCCAGCTGCTTTTTAAAATTTATGTTTTTAAGTTTTGTGCCAAGCATCCTGAGAGCAGCTGGCCGGGGAACCTCCAGCTGCCGCTCCGAGATGCCAGGTGACACCAGCCCACCCAGCCCAACTGAGAGGGGCAGCAGCCTCTTACATGGCGAGGGCGGGAGGTGCTCAGGGACCCTGGATGTGGGTTCCACGTAGCTGGCCTGGGGCACGGCCCACAAGGCCCTCGTGCACTCATGTCTGGCCTGCTGGGTGCTCTGGGGAGAAGTGAGATGGTCCTCAAGCCTGCGGTAAAGTAGGAAAAACTGAGAATTACACAGAGCTGAGACAGCAAACCCGGGCCTGCCACCTTTCTGTTAAATGGTTTTACTTATTGCTATTATTAGTAGTAGTAGTCATCGTATTACTAGGCCTCCACACATCCCTTGTACGAACGAGAATGTGTCTGGCTAAATTACTTCTTTGTCCAGTCTGGATTTGAATTTGTGATCCTCCTGCCTCAGCCTCCGGAGTGTGGGGATCACTTACGGGTGTGGTGGTGCCACCATTCCTGGCTTTGGTGTCTAACACACAAGCCTGTTTTCTGGTCTGGGTGACACAGGCCTAGGACACTTCCAGCTGATGTGCAAGGCACGGGGCTTCGGGTCGATGCCCTGGATGAGGTGAAGGGTGAATCTGGCCAGCAGAAATGTAACGGGTCCCACCTGCGTGACCAGAGGCAGGCAGGCCCAAGACCAGGGCCGGGAGTCTTTCCTTTTTTTTTTTTTTTTGAGATGGGTCTTGCTTTGTAGCCCAGGCTGGCCTCAAACTCACTGTGACACTCCTGCCTCAACCTGCTGAGTGCTAGGATCCTGGGCACGCACTACCATGCCCAGCTCAAAAACGTACACATTTATACTACAGCATTTCAGACTGAAGGCATCACAAAAAATGTAGCCCTTTCCCACTCAGCGAGGTTGCAAGGTCCCTGAGGATCCCCAGGTGGTGACTGAGAAGGTCCTGTGGCTGGCCAGGCATTTAGCCCTGATATGAGCAAAACAAGGACCAAAGGAACTGAGTGGTGCCAGAAGGTCCCTGCCTGGTAGCCAAGGATGGTGGAGGCAGGGAGGAGGCTGGGTCCCTGGGCTGAAGGAAGGTGGGGATCCCTCATCCAGGCCCCAGCAGCAAGCCCTAGAGGGTGTGGGTGTTGGGGTAGAACAAATGTTAGAGAACAGGGAGGGGACAGGGACCTGGTCCCAGCTCTGGAAGGCACTGGCAGAAGAAAGGGTGTGGGGGCCAGGGCTGCCTGCAGGGGAGGGGGCGGGATCCCGAAGCGAGGCTTGTGCTGGATGCTGGTGGCTGGGCAGCTGTGAGTTGCACTGGTCCCTGAAGCCTCAGGTGGAGACCAGTGTTGCCTGGAAGCCACTGCCCAATTCTTAGGGCTTTGAATGGGGAACCAAGTGGCCAGGGTGGGAGCCTCTGGAGGCCTTCATCGGGGATGTGTGAGGAGCCAGAGAGGCGACAGGTGGGCAGAGATGGGCCCAGGGGGTGCCTGGGGCCAGGAGGGCTGGGCCTGGGCCGGGGCGGGTGGGAGCTCCAGGACACCGGGCCTTGTGCTGTGTTTGTCTGCACCTTTCTGCTCCTGATGATAAACCCAGCCTGCCTTCACTGGGTCAGGAAACTGCGTTGCAAACGTGTAGCATGACCCGCTGTCCTTAATGTGTGATGACATCTTTTTGCCAAGCTGTTGGGGCACACGCCTGTCATCACAGCACTGAGGCTGATGCAGGAGGATGCAAATTAGGGCCCAGCTTTGGCAATGCAGCAATTTGGGGAGACCCTATCTCAAAATAAAAAATAAAATAACAAGAGTTGGGGGTACAGCTCAGCGTACTTGGCACCAACCAAACAACCAATCAAACACTCAACATCTTTCAGTCTTTTAAGATGCAAGTGGGCTGGGCTGGGATGGGTAAATGCAGGTGTTCGGCCTGCTCTGGAGGACCCACCCTCTGCCCAGGTGACTCTGGGCAGCGCCCTCTGGATGGGGGAAGAGTCCCTGGGCCTCAAGGGGGCCAAGGACTCTGGGTGCCCCAGGGGTACGAGCCAGGCTTTGGCTGGAGACACCAGGCGGCTAAGCATGTGCAGAGCTGCTCACCGGCTTTTGTGTTCTGGTGCTGGGTGTGGAACCCAGAGCTTCAGGCCTGTCGGGCACCTTCTCTGCCGCTGAGTCACATCCCTACCCACAGAGGCACCTTAGAGTCATGCAAAAATAGAACTGGAATCCTGTGTGTGTGTGTGTGTGTGTGTGTGTGTGTGTGTGTGTGTGTGACGGGTTTTGCTATCTATTCCAGGCTGTCCCTGAACTCACTTTGTGATGGCCCTGCAGAGGGTCTTGAACTTGCAGAGATCTTCCTGTCTCAGCCTCTTGGCGCAGGAACTACAGGAATGTGCCAAGATGTCTGATTTCAACCTGCAGTGTTAACTACACAGCTCCTACCCCGACAGAGGGCTTGAGCCCTGTGAGAGGCCGCAGAGAGGGCAGGCAGGAGTGCACCCGGCGGCCCCACCATGATTCGATCCGCTAAAGTGCCCTGGAGGTCCTGTCGTCAACCCACTTCTCCTCTGGGAAGGTGCCTGGTGGTGGGGTAAGGAGGGAGCCCCCCATTCCTCCCAAAGGTGCTCGGGAGACACACAATAAAGAGGTAAGTGCTTTCCAACACCGACGCTTTATTTCGCCTCTCACATGGCAGTGGGGAGGAGGACTCCCCGCCTGATGCCGACTTACACAGGGCCCCCGGTCCGGTGGCCGCCGGGGGTGACCGGCCTGCACAGGGGCTCGTCCCTGCTCCGCCGCACGCAGGCCAGTGTCTTCCGCCGTGCCTTCCCCGTGTTGGTCATGATCTGGGGATGCAAGAGGACAGGGCTGGGACGCTGCTCCGGGGCGGCGCCCGGGCACAGCAGAGGGAGCCTGGGGAGACCTGGCCCAGACTGTCGGGTCGGGAGCTCGGAGCCTGGGGGTCCCTGGAGGGCTGCTGTGCAGCAGCGGGAATTTTAAAACAAGGAGAGGAAAGGAAACGAAGTAGGAGTCTGCGGTAGCTTAGCACATCTCTCGGAGAACCAGACTTTATTTTGGATATAACTCTCTTTCCCATTCTTCTACCTTTAGTTTAATATTTAAAAAAAAATTTTTTTTTGAGACAGGGTCTCGCTATACAGTGCAGGCTGTCCTTAAACTCACTGTGTAGCCCAGGGTGGCCTTCAACTCATGGAGCTCCTCCGGTCTCAGCCTCCCCAGTGCTGGGATTACAAGTGTGCCACCATGCCCGGTGAACTAGACTTTTTAAAGTGACAAGGGAGAAAAGATGGACAGACTTGAGATAATGAAAATTTAACATTTCTAAAGTGTGTAGCAGAGGTGGCAAACCATAAACTGGGGAGAAACGCTTGCAGCCAATGTACCAGCAAAAAGGTTAATGGTTTCCGTAGGAGCTCCTACAAACCACTGGCAAAGAATTTACACAGACATGTCACAGAATAGAAAGTATTCCAGTATTCTTATACCAGTAAAGAGAAGGAAAACAATCAACTGCGGGGACAAATACAAACTACAACTTAACAAAAATGTCGCCTGGGCATGCTGGCACATGCCTATAATCCCAGCACTTGGGAGGCTGAGGCAGGAGGATCACCATGAGTTTGAGGCCAGCCTGGACTACATAGTGAGATCTGTCTCAAAACAACTAAAAAAAAGAAAAATAAAAAAAAAGTACCACTTTTCAGCTGTTATTATCTGAGTGACCAAGAAATGATTCTCTCCACTACTGGTAGATGAATATCACGTATCACTGCTGACATATATCATATATCACTGCTGACATTAGAGACTACTGTGGGATATGACTTGGTATTTTATTATAATAAGTCATAAAAATGCTCACATCTTTGGGTGCAAATTCTACCTAAAGAATCCAAAGTATGGAAAATGTTCAATAAGGCTGTTCTTTATACAATTATTATGGAGTAAAACTGAAAAAAATCTGTGTAGTAGCGGAAGAATTAACAAGTAAAAAATGGCCTTGTCAGTTGGTGTATTAGATGGCCATTTATCCTGCAAAGTAAGCGGTCATGAAGAACGTTTATTTAAAGCATTAAATAAACATCAGGTAATAACAATGTACATAAGTGATCCTTTCAGTTCTGTTAAAAATACACAAAAGACTACAAAGGAATGAATCCGGAAATGTGCAGGCTGGTTAGCAGGCAGCAGAACCAGGAGGAATTTTTCTTTTCTTTATTCCAGGTTTCCAGGTGAGGGCTTCGTGCATAACTAAGGGAAACTGTTTAAAGGAGAAATCACTGTAACACTGAGAAACCCAGAAGGAAACCTGGGGTTGACACCATCTTCTTCCCTTGGGATAAAAAACACAAAACGGGCTGGGAATGCAGCTCAGAGCAAAGGCCCTGGGTTCAGTCCCTGGTACAGGAATAAATGAAAAAAGAGAAAAAAGAAAGAACACCGTCTTCTGTGCTTTGGCCTCTGTGAGGTCCTGACCACAACTACCTCTGTGGCCGGCTTCCCTGAATCTCTCTCACCTTCGAGGCCTGTTCTGGGACCCCTCTCCAATAACAACCAATGTAATTTGTTTCCCTTCAAAATCTTGTTCCTTGAATTTTCCTAGACAATATATATGAATTTCTTTTCTTTTCTTTTAATTTTTGAGACACGGTCTTGCTGTGACATTCAGGCTGGTTTTGAGCTCATTTTGTAGCCCAGGCTGGTCTCAAACTTGCAATGATCCTCCTGCCTCAGCCTCCTGAGTGCTAGGTTTACAGGTGTGCGCCACCAGTGGCATGGCTCAACACACGAATTTCACGCAAAAATGAAAAAGATTGCAATCTTTAGCATGAATGGGACAATAATTGGCTGCCTGCAGTTTATTCTGTAGCAAATGACCAACACAATGGCAGTGCAGGGGGGGGGGCGCTACTTCCCACTCGCTAGTTTTAAGAATCTGTGACTCACTCACATTAGGACTTGCAATCCTCCTGCCTCAGCCTCTGCAGTAGCAGAGGTTACAAGTGTACTGTGCTGTACCCGGCAGGCAAAGTAACATAGTTTCATTTCAGTCACTTCGTGCTGCTGTCCTTGTAACCTCCCCTGTGTCACCTGGTGCTGGGTCACAGGCAACTTCCTGGTCTGCTGAGGAGATGCTGAGTTGACCCAGTTCCATAGGAGGCAGGAGAAATGTGACTGCCTCAGCCACTCCTCTGGTGACTCCTGGCTTTCCTGGGGCAGGAAGGGGCTCGGGGCTCTTCAGGAACAATCATGTGCAAGAAAATGTGTGATGGTCCCAGGCCTGACCATTGCAGAGGGGTTATTTTGTGCTAAAGGCACCTGTGAAGCGCTCCAAACTCATCATAGATAAGAGGCATTCAGAAAACACAGGAAGAAAGCCAGGTGTGGCGGCGCACGCCTGTAATCTCAGTACTCGGGGGAGGCTGAGGCAGGAGGATCACCACAAGTTTGAGGCCAGCCTGGGCTACACAGCCAGTTCAAGATTAGCCGGGAACACACAGTGAGGTTGTCTCAAAAAGCAGCAAGAATCAAGGAAATACTGCGGGTTCTAGCAGAATGTGCCCAGTAAGTGTTTTGGGAAGATGAAGTGAATGGCAGGCAGGTGTGAGAAGCGTGTGGCTGAGGGCTAAGCTCCTGTGAAGCTCACCCATCACTGTTATTAAAGGTCAGTCCAAAGGAACACCAAGGACGGGACTCTAGGTGGTGTCCCCTTATCTGTGAGCCAGGTGGTGGTGGCCGTTGGACCTGAGACAGAAGTGGTGACTGCTCAGCACACCATGGGTGACAGGGAAGTGCCCCAAGCCGCTGCCATCCAACTGCCAATGACTAGCACCTGGGGGACTTTGTGCCGACAGGCTTGGCACCCACGTGTGTGGGGAATGCATCACCCCTGCTTCGCAAAGGAGCCCCACTTGCTGGTGTCCTGGGCTCCTGATCATCTGCAGGTGTCCTAAGACTCAAGTCTTACTGAATGGTGCCCCGTGTTGACAGTCATGTCCCTCCCCATTTGTCCTGCTGTGTGCAGCCTGTGGGGTCCCATCAGGGTGACTGCCCCCAGGAGCCTCAGGTACCCATTGTGGCTTCAGGTGAGGATGGCCCCCTGCCCAACTCCTTGGTCCCTCCTGCTCCCCAGCTGGGGTTCTCCCTTCCTGTGCAACTGGCAGGTCCCAAACTACCGGGGGCTCCAGGGGCCCAGACCCTCAGGCTTTCAGATGCTGGGACTGGTGGCTGGGTGCACCCCAAGACCCTCTCTCTGGAGCCCTCTGCACTGTGCCCAGGGTTCTTGCCAGCTCCCTGCTGTTTTCTGTCCCTGACCTGTGCCCCTCCCTGTTGCTGCCTGAGGCGCCTGGGGCTGCCCCCACTCCCCCACTTGGCCGGGCAGCCTCGTCCGCTCCAGTGCCTTCCTGATAGGTGGGTATAGGGACTGCAGGCGTGATGGCCATGACTGTGTCACAGCCAGGGCCACTTCCGGACACCACCGGCCTTGGCATGTGCCCCAAGTTGCGCTCCCCAGCACTGCTGCCACAGTCCACGACAGGCCTCCAGGACCCCATGAGGGCCCTGTGTCCCGTGATATCTGCCAGGCATAGTCGCATCCCCTCCGGCCTGCCACATGTCACTTACCCCCAGGTACTCTGTGGTCAGCAGCTTCTCCCCCGAGAGCTCCCCAAGCTGGGGCTGGATCAGCTCGTCCTTGTCCAGGTCAGCTTCCATGGTGTCATGGTCCTCCTGCTTCCAAGGGGACAGGGTGAGTGTGGGGCCGCTCCCAGCTGCCACAACCCCTCTGAGGTGCAGTGCCATGGCCCGAGGAGGCCTTGGCCCATCACGACCATCAGCTTCTGCCTTCAGGGCCCCCAGGGCCACCTGCCCTATGCCGACCTTGCTGTGAAGCTGTGGGGACAGGGCCACCCCCACATGCACCAGGAAACCGGGGGGGGGGGGGCGCGGCGGCCATGGTGATCGAAGCACATGCTGGAGGGGACCAGGTTCAGGCGCTTTGTGGTGGAGGAGGGCCAGTGCTCTGGTGTCAGCCATGGACACTGAGGATGGGGACATCACTGTGCAGAAAGTATCGCCACCATGACCTGTCCCCTTCAGGGTCATCCTCAGGCAAAAATGTAGGAGGAGGTAGCAGTGGAGAGCTACTGGGACCAGGACTGAGCCAGGATCTTGGCACCTGAGGATCCTGCACAGTGGATCCAGGCGGGGCTTGCAGAAGGGACAGCGCCAAACCTGAATGGTGGCCAGTGCTGTGTCGCTGATCTTAAGAATGCAACAATCAGCTGGGCGCTGAGGTGCATGCCTGTAACCCCAGTGCTGAGGAGGCTGAGGCAGGAGAATTCCCGAGAATCTGAGGTCAGCATGAGCTACATAGTGAGTCTAAGGCCAACTGTGGATGTAGGGAGACCCTGTCGCAAACACCCCCCCCCCGCCCCCAAAAAAGAATGTAGTGATCAGTCACAGGCCAGGCAGGTTTTTGTCATGGCAAAACTGGCGGAAGCAGGGCCTGTGCCAGTCAGGCAGGTGCTGCGGTTCAGCTGCATCCCTGGCCCCAGATGGTTTGTTTTTGTTGTTTTTAAGAAGACTCAGCCAAAAACAGAGCCATTTGGCTTCTGGGAAGATGCAGTGCGCCCCCTTTCCTTTCTTTACATTAAAAGCTTGTATAAAAGAGATTTCCAGGCCCATATACTTTTTTTTTTTCCTGTCTTTTTCCTTTTTATCGGTACCGGGGATCGAACTCAGGACCACCTGCTTGCAAGGCAGGTGCTTATGCCGCTGAGCTAAATCTCCAGGCCCCCGCCCATATGGTTTTGCTGGAGAAATCCATGGCAGTTTGAATGAGGTAATATCAATTCAGCAAACTGAAGAGGAAGTAACGTTTCCTAATTCACTGTCTGCAGCTGGTTTTACCCTGGTATGAAAACAAGACAGGCAGAGCCCAAGAAGGAACACACAACATCTCTCACAGACACACCGTAGAACTGCGCCATGAATGATGGGGTCCCATGACACACTGGCAGGATGGCACACGGAGACTGAGTGGGCTATGCTCCAGTGAGGCAAGATAGCTTCAGTATTTAAAGCTTAAACCAGGTGTGGGGTGCAACATCTGTGATCCCAGAACAAGGGGAGGCTGAGGCAGCTAGGCTGGAGCTTAGCTAGAATGATTTAGCAACTCTGTCTGCAAATTACAAAAGCTAAAAAGGGCTGGGGATATAATTCAGTGCAGAGAGCCTGGGTTCAATCTTCAGTACTGCAAATACATTTTTTTTAAAGAGATAAAAATAAGTAAATACATAAAACGTCATAATTGTAAGTCACACTGTTAACAAGTGTAAGGGAAAAAAAATCACACATGACACATAGTTTTTTTAAAAAAGCATGTGAATGGGACCACGCATTTAGATTGGCAAGTGTGAGGTTGTGAGTTCAATCCCGGGTACCAAACCAAACAAAACAAAACCACATGAAAAAAATCCAATGTGCAAAACAACAAAAACTGTCAGAAAAGAAGAAAGTGGGCACTTGATAAAAAGCACTCACAGAAGAGCTGGGTGAACATTTACTTAGTTACCAATGGGGCTGCTTTGATCAGCCGAGGGCCTTTGCTAGCAACCAGCACCACTTCCTCTGGGGATGGGGACACAGCTGTCACCCCCAGCTGAGGCGTCACTCCGGGAGCTGCCTCTGCAGCATGGGTTGGGGCTCACGCTTATTACAGAGCCCTGAAGGCTGCACATGTCCCTAGCACTTGCCTGGCTCCTATCTTGCCTTGGTGCAGGTGACTTTTATTCCTGGGTAGGAAACAAAGGCCTGGAGAAGTGGCTGATCTCCAGTGACAGCCCAGAAGCCTGGCCTTGGAGCGCAGCTGGCCCCTCTGTGCCAGGGTGCTCAATGCTGGTCGGTCCCCGGGGCACCTGCGCTCCCTGGTGCTGTGGTGACTGCTGGGCAGGGATCAGGCGGGAAGGGCTCCTCTGTCCCTGCCAGACCTCAGGGTCCTGGCCCACTGAGAGCTAAGTCCTAGGCTTAGGCTTCCTAAGGAGGGCAGCTGACAGGAACTCGAAGCCCTGCATCCTGAAAACCCACTCAGAGTTCCCCAAAGGTAGTACCACCCCAAGGTCAGTGCTGGGCCGTGGCCGAGCAGCAACATCGCAGGGATCGGGCGCTGCGCATGCCTTGGGCTGTGTGAGTGAAGCCAGCTCCTTGGGAACCGGGCAGCCTGAGCAGCGGGGCCAGCATGGCTAAGGTTTCGCTGTCCCCGGGGAACCGGCCTCCGAGGCCCTGGCTGGAAACGGGCATGTGAATCACAGGTCCGCCCAGGTATTGGTGACATGCCACTTCTCCGCCAGGAGGCAACATGAGCCACCGAGGAACACAACAGACCCCACATTCCACCTGGAGGGGTGGAGGCCAGCGGCTGACCTCAGCTGGGGCCACTGTAGGCATTTCTTCCCTGACAGCAATTACAACACACGTAGGAGCCATGCACTTGCAGATCACTGCACGGGTCCTGAAGGTGGACCACTGAGCAGGTAGCAAGCGACTTAGACACTTATCTACTCAATTGTGTTTGTTTCTTTAATTAAAAACTTAAAAGCTTTTTTTTTTTTTTTTTTTTTAATTAGAAGCGCTTCAGAGTCAGGTAGACTGGCCCACTCCTGTAATCCCAGCATTCACAAGGCTGAGGCACGAGGATTGCCACAAGTTCAAGATCAGCCTAGGCTACATAGCAAGACCCTGGATCAGAAATATCAAACCAACCAAACTTAAGAAGCCAGAGCTCCCTGCAGGGCCCTGGTTTTCAGCGCCTGGGAACAGAGCACAGGCAGGGGCTGTGGGAAGGCAGAGGGGTCCCCCAGTGGCCCTGACAATGAAAGCATAGAGCCTGCCGGGAATGGCGCTTGCTAAGCGTGCGTTTGTTCTGCTTTCTGAGGTGGTGCTGTGTGGACCCAGCAGGAGGACACCGAGAACTTTCAGAAAGGAGCTAAACTAGAGAGCCAGGGGGTACCTGGTGATGACTGCCAAGGAGCCCTGCAGGGTGAGCGGGGATGCTCCCTGTCCCTTACCCCAGCATCATGCAGGGAAAGGCTATGGCAGACAGGTCACCTGGAACAGCCACCGAGTGGACCGATGCCTCTGCAGCCCCTCTGCCTGGCTCACAAATGCTGAAGGAAACCTCGTGGCATTAACCAATCTGCTCCAGGAAAGGAGAGATGGACACGGAAATGCTCAGCGAATAAATGCCTCATTAGGGTGTGTCTGAAATACCATTGTTGGCGGAATTTAACTAAAATTACTGGCCTTTATGTGCTTGGCAGAGTGCATCGGGTTACTCACAGAAAGCCCCGCGTCCGCGATAACTGATTACTCAGGAATTAAGCATTGCTCACACAAAGGCAGCTGGGCCCAGATGAATGTCCGTGTTCCCATACGAAGCTTCCCTGCCGCGGCTCCGCGATCCTGTGACACTGCCCCATTCTTAGCTGGACGCTTTCGATACATAATACTCCAGGCCAGCCGGCCTTCAAGCAGCTGGCCTGAAAACAAAACTGAGGCTGACCGCTAAATGCATTTGAAAACTCAGATCCTCACAGATACAGCGCAGGGAGTGGGACATTTCAGTGGCTTCACGGGTGATGGACAAGCGAAAGTATCCAGTGTGCCAGCCACTTGGAATGGTGACAGGACTCCTCTGAGCAGTTTAAACCTGAGACAGCTGCTCGGAACGTGGAATCGTAAACCTCGCTCTTTGTGAAAACACAGGAACCTTGCGCATGGGGATCCAGGGTGGCCCTAGGTGAGCAGGCGGGTAGTGGGCTCTGCGTTCTCCCCCTGGTGGCCCCTGGCCCTGCTCCTGCCGGGTTTGTGCCCAGGCCGGAGGCTGCAGGTGGACCCTGTCCACGAAGGCTGCTTTCACCATCGCCTCCCTCGTTTACCAAGGGCTTCTCTGGCTCTCGGCAGCAGCCTAACAGCTGGGTCCTGAAGTGACCGCATGTGGAAACCAGAGAGCCTAACACCCTCCTTCCCTATGCCTTCCAGTCTGTTGCTTTAGCTGCTCTTTTTGCTTAGACTTTTTTCTAAAGTCCGGAAGGAATATGGAATTACTGAGCCTGGTGCTACATGCCTGTAAGCCCAGTGTTTGGGAGGCTGAGGCAGGAGGATCACTGTGAGTTTGACGTCAACTTGAACTACACAGAAAAATCCCGTCTAGTGAAAAAAGAAAAAGAAAGAAAGAAAGAAGGAAGGAAGTGGAAAAGGTAATGGCAAAGTTGCCCTGGGAAAAGCAGGGTTTATCAACATATTTAATCGACAGAGTAGAAGATGACTTGCAGGCCCAAGGGGACCTGAGTGAAGGTAGTCAAAAGCTCCTGTGTGGTCTGAGGAGAGGGAGCTGCTGCTGCCGCAGCTCTGTGGACACGTGAAGTACAGATGAGAACATCAGAGCCAGAGGGCAACAGGCCCTAGAGACCAAGGCAGGGAGTGTCACCCCCCACAGGACCCTCTCGCTGGAAGCGATGTCCTTGCATCTAAGCCAGAATGAAAGGAAAACTCTTTCAACCAGGTGTGGAGGTGCAGTTGTAATCCCAGCTCTCTGAGAAGCTGAGGCAGGAGAGAGGCAATTTTATTTTATTATTTTTTTTCTAGGAAGTAGCTTGCTTTCCACCAGCAGGGGCCCAGCGGATTCATGGGGGTTGTGCTAAAACTATGCATGGGTGCATAGGAACTTTAAA